ATAGGGTTACAGGGTTTATAGGGTTCATGAAAAGAGTGAGGCCATAAAAGAATGGGATTTCTGCCCTTGTCTTGGGGCGGGCCCATGAAAGGTGATCAGCCAGCATGCACAAACGGCAGCTGCCAATGTGGTGATTGCGGCTGAGGCCGTTCATGAGCAGTGGCTTGACTGCCCGAAGTTTTGAAGAACATCGGGGTTCTCTTTTCATGGTGCCGTTTGGGTTCATCCCTGATGCGATCCTCTTCATGAGCATACTCCCAAAAGGTTCATTGTTTTCTTGATGCTGTCGTTGTTGTTTGATTTTGCTGGTTTGCGGTACTGGCCTGTTAGAAGGTCTCGGGCTTAGGCCTTCGCCGTTACACGCTTTGCCATTGTTTTCGTGCAGGAAAATAAGTTAGTTAAAGTACAACAAGTAATAGCAGCAGACTCAGCATATCTAGTACGTACTCGTTGGCACCACGCTGCTGGCAGCTATGGGGGTTACTATCGCCACCGCCAGCACAACTCAGAAGAATAGCAAGTGGAAGTCATCGCCACTGTCGTCTCCCCATTCATCGCGTTGGTTGCAATAGTGATGTGACAGTCGTAGCTGCAGCAACAACATCAGCAGCCAGTAGTAGCAGTGGCGGCACGTCTGATCCTACTATGATCACGCGGTATTACGTATTACTATCATGACTGATGCCCATGCCGAGGCTCTTCGGAAACTCTACCAGTTCAAGCAGGCTCCTGGAAGTGTTAGGAGGGTGCTAGGACCTTGGACTTGTAGGAGGGGCTGCTTCAGGATTAGCACAAAGTAGCTCATAATCTGCCCCGGTAAAGAACCCCTGCCGACTGAAACGGGGTCCTACCCCATGTCATGGCCTCAGTAGCTGGTAGGTACAGTTTTTGACTTCCTGCAATCCTGCTAGAACAGAGAATGTATACCCTTTCTTAGGCTAGTCCCGTAATCCTACTATCATAGATACTCCTAGAAGCGTTGCAGGCTTTTTTTAAAACATCTCGGGGAACTCAGCAACTGGGTGGCAGGAGCAGCTCGGCCTCTGTTGCGGCACCCGTGAAGCCGGAGTCGGTGCCACAAGTGTGGCCGGAGACATCCAGGGCGAGGCAGCTGGGTTGAGGGTTTAGGTTTGGGG